GATAAAAATAAATAAATGTAGGAGAAAAAAAAAAACTGCGGTCTGGATTCTCCAAATATTCACTGAACTTTTCCAATTTCCAAACAGTAACAAGAAGTCTGGAGTCATTCAATGAGAGGTGAAGATGGATGGCTTGGGGACATTCCAATTGCATTCAAGTAGTTAAGCTCTAGGATTAGCCCTACAGGGAAAGGAAGCCTCCTATTTGAGGAGAGGGGTCATTCACAAGAGGAGGAAGTATGCTAAGCAGTGCTCACCAAAGGATTCTGGGAGAAGGAAGCTGCCCAGTAGAAAAGAGTCCTTCTATAAGGACTTTCCTTATTCCCTGGCCCCAGAGCATCCCAGTTGGGTGAGGCAGGTCCTTTGGAGAAACAGTAGATACAAAGGGAGGGGGGGAGAGAAAGAGCTTGGCAGCTGTCTGGGCCACTGATCCCTAAGAGTTGCCTTGTACAGTCAAGCCTCTGGTTCTGAGCTTGGACAGTAGCGTGACACGCTCCCTCCAACACGCAGGCAGACAGCCTCGGGACACAGCCTGGCCTTGAGGGGATTTGGGGGAGAGGGATTGGTATCCTCCCTTCCTTCGGCTACGGGCTCCTTAGCCAAGGCTTCCGCCCCCAGGCCTGGAAGAGGTCCAACTCAAACCCCAGGCACCTCCTAGATCACTTTAATTAAAAGGGATCTGGCTCAGAGCAGGAAAGAGGAGGTGACCTCCCTCCCCCGGGGTCCCAAGGGCTAGGAGGAGGGGAGGGAAGGGTGTGTGTGTTAGTGGGTCGCAGCCACACTTCCCAGAGGCTCGCCAGATTCCTCCAGCTCCCCCGAGCCCGATTTCCTGTTCCAGTCCCTTCTCTTTTCCTGGAGTCCCCAGAGGCGCCCGGCTGTCCCCCTCCCGCCTCCTCCCTAGAGCTAGCGCTCCCACTCCCCCACCGTGGCTTTCGGCATCTCGCTTCTTCAAAGATGGCAAGGGGATGCCGCCGGTGTGCCAGGAGGGCTGGGATTGGGTGGGGTGAGAGAAGAAAAGTCAAGGTCCTCGCCCAAGGCCCGGAAAGGGCCGAAGAGAGGAGGTTGAAAGTGTGACCCTAGGCCTGGGGGCTCCAGCCCGTAAGGCACTGGGTTAAAGACGCTGAAGTCAAACCCCTCTGGGGTCCATCCACATCCCCGACAACTGGCAAGATCCTTGTTTGCCGCGCCCCCTGCAACCCCCACGCTGCGGCCACTCCTGAACCCACGCCTTTACCAGGAGCACACTGGATGGACCGCGGGGACAAGGAGCCCCACCTTTGCTCCAGGTCCCCTTCTAGATACTCTAGCATCTAGCGAAGCTGAGGGCACCCTCGGAGCGGCAGAAGGAGTAGTAAAGGCAAATCCCGACTGCGGCAAGGCTCAGGGATCTGGTGGGAAAGGACGAGCCAGGCTGTGTGACCAATGCTCCCTCCTGCAAACTAGCTACAATGCATTGACCTGCACTGTCTTTTGGACCCACAAAATGAAATGAACTGCACACCAGAGATCGGGCCCCATTTTAAGCTAGGGCAGGAAAGAGGAGTCTGTGGAAGGGCTGCCCCAGACTCCCACGACGTTTCGCAAAGAACAGACTAGAAGGAGCACAAAGCTGGGGTTCAGGCGGCCCTCAGGTGCACTGACCCAGAGCCCCTTCCCCCACTGAGGTACCAGAGGACCGGTCTCTGTCATTCCCCCAACCCACCTCCCACCCAATCTCTCCTGACAGGCCTTTTTCCTTCCTTCATTACCTCACTGCCTCCTTCCCTTTGACGTCAGCCCTGCCCCCTCCCGCCCCCCGCATAGAAAGGAGAGGAGTAGGGGTGGGGGTGGGGGATAATGGGAAGTATCAGGATTCCCCCCGCCCCCAGCCGGGGGAGGGGGACGATGAGGTAATGAGAGGCCAATGGGGAGCCGGAAAACTACGCGGCCGCTTCGCCTCTTCCTCCCTGCTTCCCCCACCCCTACCCCATCCCTATCCCCACCTCCTCCCCTCTAGTCCCTGGCTGCGCCCGATGTCTGCGCCCGAGTTACTAAGCAACCCTATCGGAGTCGCGGGACTGAAGCCAAGTTCACCAAAAGTTGAAGAATAAATTTTGGGGAGGGGAGGTGGGGGGAGGGAGGTGCGGAGGAGGGAAGGAAAGCTTCTCTCAAAGCTCCCGAGAGCAGGACAAAGGGCCCAAGCTGGGGCTGCCTCCCCGCGACGGCGGCGGCTGCAGCGCAGACACTGCTAGCTGCCTGCGAGCTATTCCGGCTCCTGGCCGGGTCTGGACGGCTCTTTGGGCCGTGACCCTTCGAGGCGGCGCTTGGGGAGAGGGCGCAGCTGGGGCCCGGGACGCGCCTAGCCAGGAGTGTTCGATCGCCAAAGGGCTTTCGAGGTTCCCAAAAGGGAAAGGAAAAGGCAGAAGCCCAGGAAGATGAATGTTCATCAGAGTTAGAGTTAGGTTAGAAATCTTCTAATACGGTCTCCCACCTCAATTTTGCAGGTGAGGAAATTGAGGCCCAGGAAAACTGTGACTTGGTCAAAGAATCTACCCCTTTCCACTACACTCCGCTGCCTCCTTAGAATATTGCTGGAGAGTCATTCCTAAAGGGAGGCAACTCTCAGACCTCTGGTGTTTACTAGCTGTTTGCTGCATCAGTCTGTTCCTTGCCCCAGCAACTCAGTTTCCCCGTTTGTCACATAGGAATAAAAATAATGCACCATCTTTTGTCCTGGACACCTTGAGCAGTCTGGGGAAGCTTATAAAGCTCCTTCTCAGAATTGTGTTTTCAAATGCATAAAATAAAATACATTATATGACAAAAGAAACTAATGACATCGAAATAATTTTTTTTAATTTCACAGACCCCCTGGTCTCTGGACTCGAGGTTAAGAACCCCAGTTCTACAGAAAGTAAGCTACTATTAGAGAAGGCACAGACCTGACTCTCCATCTCCCTCCATCCAAATTAGTAATTAGCTCCTATTTATGTTGAAAGCCTGTTCCCTTTTCACTGAAGACCTGCTTAAAACTTAACAAGCTTCAGCTCTTTTTGTGGTGGCAAAGAACTGGAAATTGAGGGGATGCCCATCAATTGGGGAATGGCAGAACAAGTTGTGGTATATGAACGTAATGGAATACTATTGTGCTATAAGAAGTGATGAACAGGCGGACTTAAGAAAAACCTAGAAAGACTTTATGAACTGATGCTGAGTGAAGTGAGCAGAACCAGAAGAGCACTACACAGTAACAGCCACATTGTGCAATGACTAACTTTGATAGATTTATCTCTTCTCAGCAACCCAAGGATCTAAGACAACTCCGAAAGACTCATGACACAAAATGCTATCCACTTCCAGAGAAAGAACTATGGAATCTGAATGCAGATTGAAGCATACTATTTGATCTCTTTTTTTCTCCTGTTTTTTTGCTTTGTTTCTTTTTTCTCGTGGTTCCTCTCATTGATTCTAATACTTCTTTACAATATGACTAATGTGAAAATATGTTTAATATGAATGTATAGGTAAAGCCTATATCAGATTGCATGCCATTTGGGGAGGAGGGAAGGAAGGAAGGGAGAGAAAATTGAAAACTCAAAAGCTTGTGGAAGTGAATGCTGAAAACTAAAAACAAACAAATAAATAAATAAAATTTTAAAGAGAAAAAATAAGCTTACATTCGTATTACGGCTTTGATTTTGCAAAGGGCTTTTTATATATTATCTGTTTTAAGCCTCACAACAATCTGAAAGGCAGGTATATAATTATTATTAGCCTCATTTTACAGATGACTAAGCAGTGTCTGACAGAGGTTAAGTGACTTGCAGAAGATCACACAGTAAAAGAAATCAAACCAGGTCTTGCTAACTCCAAATCAAAAACTCTATCCACTGAACAACACTGCCTCCCTAACACCATCATCATTAACATCGTCATTGCTAATACGAACATGGGGATGGGGGAGAGATGTGTGATGTCATTGGTATTGGGAATTTCCATGGAGGCTACTTTCTCTATCAATGACCGTCAGCAATTTCTCTGCTACTCAGTCTGAGAGAGTTGTCTAGGGACAGTAAGGGGTTAAGCGATTTGCCCAGGGTCACATAGCTTGTATGAGAAAGGACTTAAACCCAGGCTTTCCCAACTCTAAGAACCACTCTCATCCTGGCTGCCTCAGTATTCTTATTATCATCACCATCACCATCACCATCGTCATCATCGTTACCACCACCGTTATCATCTCAATATCTTCTTTGTTGTATTTATCTTGTTCTTATCAGCTGGAGCTCCAATACAACAGTGGTTGTTGTTATTGTTAGTGATAGTGTAAGTGTTTAGATCGACATTGATATATTTATCGTCCTTGTTAGTGTTTAGAACAACCTAAAGTAAGAACAACCTTAGAACAACCTAAAGTGGAAATGTTAAGAAAAAGGTGGAGTTCCTGAATTTAGGAGTAGGGAGCAAGGTGAGCTTTCATTGACCAGTCCCTGACCAGGCTTCTTTCTGCCTGGGAGTTTCAAGGACGTGCTTAAGACTCAGCTCCATAAGCCGAACATTCCTCATAGCACCAGCAACCACCTCTCTTCCTTGTCTGGGTGTATGGATTGGAGCAGGGGTGGAGAACCTGTGAACTTGAGACCACATGTGGCCCTATAGGTCCTCAAGGTTGGCCCTTTGACTGAATCCAAATTTCACCTCTTAATAAAAGAATTTGTTCTGTAAAACTTGGACTCAGTCAAAAGGCCGAACCCGAGGACCTAGAAGGCCGAATGTGGCCTTGAGGCCACAGATTCCCCACCCCTGGACTGGGGGATGCAATGGGTTTCCCTAAGCTCCTAGCATTTCCCACAAGAAACTGACACACCCTTTGCTCTTTATAGACCCGCCCCAAGTTGGATCCCAGGACCCAGGACAGCATGCAGGTCCCGAGGGACACAGTTTCTGAGACTCCGAGCTGGGGACAGGATTCGGGGAGGTTCCTCTGACTTGGAGGACGAGAAGGCCCGAAGAATTTTTACCTGTTGTAAGGAGTCCGGAGCAGCAGGGCCTGGCTGCCAGTGCAGCTGTCGGTGGGTGTGTGGCATCCATAGACCGGGGGAGGCACGGAGTATTGCTGCTCGCCTATAAAAAAGGAGAGGTAGGAGAGAGGAGTTTACATAAGTTGTGGAACCTCGATTTTTTGTGGGGTGGGCAGAACCTGAACAAGAACCTGCCCCCCAGGCAAGACTTGAAAACTGTCCCGGTTCCTCTCCCGGTTTGAACATTTCACTCCTCGCTTCCCACAAGCCCTACCCCAAAAACTCGGTTCCTCGCTGCTGAAGGCTTCAAGTCTTCCCTGTTATGTAATGGCTCACGATCTGATTTAATAAAAATAAACACCTGGGTGTCATGGGGGGGAGAACAACCCTGATATTTACATTGTTTATTTTTAATGTACTTTAAGAAATCCAAAAGATTTATGATTTCACCACATGGATATTCCTACCACCAGCATATTTAACCCCTCCATGCCTTAGGTAGAAGGTTCTTCATGACCTTGTTGGGTTGGGGTTTAGAGAGGGGGAGGAACCTGTGATTTCATCAGTTTAGGGAACTTGCCTTCACCAACTCGGATAACTTAATGCATTTAAAAAGTTTTCATACTGGAGCACCGACAGCTTAAATGAATTGTCCACGGTCATAGTTAGTGTCAGAGATAGAACTGAACCCAGGTCAACCTGATGCTAAGGCCAAAGCTCCATCCAGGCCTCCCCAGAATTGAACTGCTGTCACCTCCCCCTCATCTCGCCCACCCCCCCCAAAAAAAACAAACAAACAAACAACACCTGGTGCCTGGTCTTCTGGTAATGAGCCTTTCCAAATTTAGCTAGACCAGTGTTGCAAACCCCATACTTAAAACCTTTGTTAACAAGAGATTTTCAAATGTTCAAATGTAGACCTTGAATGTGGCATACTAGGACCCTGCCTATCCTGATCTGGTTCTGGCTCTGGAATTAGGTGACAGGATGGTACAGTAGGGGAATCAGCATCATCTTTTGCTTTCCTTCCCAAACTCTGGAACTGAAGAGGGGCAGCCAGTGGTCAGGAAGAGGAACCCGGTGGCCTCTTTCTGCACACATCACACTACCCTTCCTTAAGTCACGATGGCAAGCACTCAGGCTGGCTTGAGTGGGGGCAGGACCCCATTTTTTTCTCTTGGTCCTTACCCAAAGAGCCCTGCTGACCAATGGGGTCCTCGTGTTTGAAGGAGTGATTAGGGAACTGCGCTGCATGATGTGATGGCGTGTGTCCATAGCTGGGTGTTCCGTCAAAAGTGACAGTGCTGTATCCTGAGAGTAACAAAGAAAAGCACAGGGATTAGTGAGGCCAGCTTCCCCTGGGAGGTCCCAACCTAGGGGTGGAGGCTCTCTGGACTCCCCCTCCCCAGCTGCTCACCTTCCTCCCCACCAACATTGGGTAAAACCAGCAAAACCATCCCTTCTTACCTTATTCCCGTCCCATTGATTGGCATGGGGGTTGAGGTTGAGAAGAAGGAGAGAAGAGAGGAGAGAGACAAAGGGAGGAGAGAAGAGAAGGGAAGGGGAAGGGAAGGAAGAGGAGAGGAAAGTAGGGGAAGGGAGAGAAAAGGAGGGGAGGGGAGGGCAGGGCAGGTGAGAGGAAGGGGGATGAGAGGAGGGGAGGGGAGATGCCTGGTCTCCGCCCCTATTCAAAATCTACTTCTCAACTATTTCCTAATCGATTGACTTCCAGGTACTCAGAATTCAAAAGTCTTAAACAGCGCCAATGAAACTACTTTTCCCTTCTGGTCAAAGTTGATCTCCCAAAAAAAAAAAAACCAAACGGCCAGGTTCTTCCAGAGACCAGGCAGATTCAGAGCGTGAAATGAATCCTCTCTGTTGACCCCTCAGTGACACTAAACGGTAAATCAGAAGCCGGGGCACCAACTTTCGTTAATAACTCGGAGCCTGTTATACAAGTTCGACTTCTAAAAAAAAATGTAATTACCGAGTAAATGTTATCAGTCGGCTGCTCCTCGGCTCATCACCATTTACACCAGGATCCCTGAAGCTAGCTGCTGAGGGAGAGGTTTTTCGGGGAAACGGCCCTTCCGCCTCAGCTTCGCGCCCCTCTTGGTTAGGTTGTCTCCGGCTTGGGCCATCCTTCCCCGCGTTCCCAGCCCAAGAGACCAGAACACCAGCTTTGCTCCCAGTCATTTTCCCCGGATATTTTGTATGAGACCATGAGCCAGTCAAAAGGCCTCTCGGGAACTCAGTGTTCTCATTGGTTAAATGGGGAGAATAATACTCAACTCTGAGAAAAAGCTTTACACAGATTCAACTCTTGGGTGAAAAGATAGGACGCCTTACTGAACTGGATTGCATTTGCTTACTCCTTAGATACTGTGTACCATGGAGAAATGAATCATTTTATTGCATGGACTTACAAACTTTGAACTGAAAGGAAAGGACCTGAGAAGCCACCTAGTCCAATTTCCTCATTTTACAGATAAGGAAACTGAGTCCCAGAGAAGACAAATGCCTTGCCCAAAGTCATGGGTCGTCTAACTCCAAATCTGGCACCCTCTACTGTCCTATACTATTTATACTTTTACTAGTTGTTTTTTCCACCTACAAATTGGGAGCAATACCAGTTGCCTGTGCTCTTCCTTTCTGCTGGGAGGTGGGAACTGCAGAAAGAGATTTTGGATTCTTGGTGGGAATCAGTCAGTGTATGTGCTTGTGTGTGGGCATTGTGGGCACAATGAGTGGGAGAATATCTGAGACAATGGGAGAATCCACCCCGAGTTCCTGGATCTGGGAGGGGTGTGGATTAGGGAGGGAGAGAGGGCATTCTTCCAAGGCTATTGGAACTCTGTCTCACACCCCCACTATCCCATATCTCTCAGTTGTATATACCTGGGACTAACGAAAGTAGGGGACATTGATAGATGGGAAGGGGGGAAAGGAACCAAAGAGTGATGACTGCAAAGGATCAAGACATGTAATGGGAAAAGCGCACTGCATATATAAGGAAAAGTGTGCAAATGAGTGCAAATGCAGGTTCTGTTACTACTAGATGTACAACCTTGGGGGACACTTCTCTGGGCCACGATTTTGTTATCTGTAAAATGAGGAGACTGAAGGAAGTGATCTCTAAGGTCCCTTCCAACTCTAAAATCTTTCCAGCCCTGAATAGAGATCTAGGCTAACCAGCAAAATGTCCTTGTTGGGGTCAGAGCACTGGTTTAACCAGGGTACTAAGGAAATTAGAAAATAACGATAATTCTTATTCCTGCAGCAATTTACAAAACTTTTTCCTTACGACGTCGGGAGGCAGGGAACTAGGGAAGCTTTTCTTGTCCCCTTTTTGCCAAGGAGGGGGAAAAACCACCTAGAGGAGGAAAGTGACCTAACCAATGCCCCACAGCTGATAAATCAAAGCTCGGGTTCTTGAACTCACAGCTCCCAACTCCACTTTTGGGAATTTTGCCTCCACCCCTCAAGAAGAGGAAAGGTAACAAACAATTGGCTAGTGCTTTTGGCTTAACTGAAGACCCTTCCGGAGCCTCCCTAGCCCCACTTCCTGCGCTCCTGAGCTAACTCTAGGGAGGCATCCTAACAGGCGTTCCTCAGAGATTCAGGGTCTACCGAGAGTCCCCAGCAGCCGAAGTTATCCTTGAAGCCCCCAGACTCCCGGCAGTTACCCTCCTATGGCCAGCTAGCTAGGTTTTCACTTGACTAACAGGACTGAGAACTGAGCCCCTCTTTAGCAAGCAGGTGTGCGCAGCAAAGGGAACCCTGAGTTTTTGCCTCAAACAGACAAATCTCAGGTGTTCGTTCAAGGAGCTCAAAGGATTGAATTAGATGGTCTGCCACGCACGCTAAATGGTAAGCTATGGTGCTAACTAATGAGGAAAACTGCCGGGAGGTGAACGGGGACCCAGGACTAGTCTCTAGATTGGTCCTCAATAAACCATCCCTTACTAACCCGAGGACCCTAAGCAAGTAACTTGTGTTTTCCGGTCTCAGGGTCCTCATCTATAAAATGGAAAACGAATTTCGTAACCCAAATAAGAACTCGCGGTACTTTGCAGAGGAGTCCAGTGGTTAGGGTTATCATTCAAGCCCCAGTTGTTCACTTTGTCACAGTGACCTGGCCAGTCCAGTTAAAGCTACAAACCGCAGCCTCCAAACAAAATGTGGCCATGTCCACCCAGGTTTTTTAGGAAAGAGGAGAGCTTTGAAATACTTTTATTACGCCCCCCCCCCCTTTTAAGAACTGAGAACACGATGGTCTCCTCGTTGTACCCTCTGGTCATTCCCGCAGCCCTGAACTCCGAAGATTGAACCTGAACTCCTCGGTAGCTCAGGTGTTCTGGACAGATGCCGGCACGCATCATCCCGCCTGCCTTCCAATCCCTGCTCAAGACTGGACAAAATCAGCTCTTGCAGCTCAATGTGGAACGTCTGCGCTTCTCACTCTCCACTGCATCACCTGCTTAGGGAGGATGGCCCCGGAGGCCTGGAAGACTCGAGCTAGGCTGAGGAGGAGAGCTTCGGGTGCCTCTTTCACTCCCTCCCTCCCCTCTTCCGCCTTCCACTAGCATCGGATGACCTTCAATTTGAACCAGAAAACTCGGTTCCCTATCACCTCAACCATCCGCGCCCCACTATCCTGAGCGTCCCCATCCCTCCACGTACACTTTCTGGTAGTGCCTGTCCCCTAGCCCCCAAAGAGATAAGAGAGGTTCAGTTCGGAAGACGCCTGGGGCTAAGGAGGTCTGTTGAAATTAGGAGCTTATCAGAAACCGGGCTGATTAAACCACGTAGCCCTTCTGCTGGCTGCTGCAGCAATCTTTCGGCTTTATTGGGGGTGGGGGGGTAGAGGGAGAGGAGGAGAGCTGGATAACAGTTGGAAGGGAACGGAAGGCTGCTGCGAAGGGAACGGGCAAAGCTTCTGTTTTCCAGCTCTTGGAGAGAGAGGGAGGCACTGGCGGGCCAAGGTAACGTCTTTCCCACGGTCAGCCTGGGCCTCTAAGCTGAGAGCAGCCTTGACCGCCTCAGTTAGAGGTCGATCTTGAACTCACCTCCCTTCCTACAGCTGGAGCAAAGGTCAGGACTGGCCCTAAGCATCCCTTCTCCAAGGGGGCCCCAAAGGCTTAGGGGGGGACTGTATTGTCATTGTGGTGGAGAGAGGGAAGGGAGAGAGCCAGGGGCTGTTTGGTGCCAAGAACCAGGTGACCCAGAGGAAAATCGATCAGAGTGGTTTCCTCTTAGACAAATCTCTAATAAGCACGTTCTTCACAACCTGTGAGGTGGGTGAGGAAGATATCTGTACAACCTGGACCGAGACTTCATCTCCTGGGACCTCCATTTCCTCCTCTGTAAAATGAGGGCGCTGGAGTAGATTAAAGCTAAATTCCACTGAAACTCTACAATGCTACGATTCCCACTTTAATGGTTTTACAGAAGAGGAAACTGAGGCTCAGGCTGTGCCCCAGGCTACAAAGCTAGCAAGCGGCAGAGCTGGTCCTGGAACCTGACATTTCACACTCCAAAGCTACTTCCTCTGCACCCTAGTCAGCTCTCCAGAAGGGAAAAAGCATCCTTCTCCATCGAAGGCTTGCAGTTTCATGAAATAAAAACAAGGAAGACAACACAAATCTCTTTCCTGCAACCAGCCAGCCCTGTTTTTCTGGCCCTGGGGAAGGGCGAGGAACTTTGGGTGTCCTCGGAAGTCCAGGAGAAATGAGTTGGTGAGAACCCTCACACCAACATGACTGGAGAAGCCTATACATACCCCATCCCTGCTCCCAGACTTCCACTAGAGCTCTTCTTACCCTGCCCCCAACTCCCAACCCTATCCTACCACCCTTGGGGAATGGGGGGGTAGCCCCCCAGATGCAAGAACTTTAGAGCTGAGTCAGCTCCCAATCGGCTCTCTCGGGATAGGGAGGGCATACATTTCCTCGGGGGTTCGGTCCCTTCTCATTTCTCTGGGGGAAAAAAACGCCGCAGAAGGAAGCCCTGGTACAGGGGAGAGGGAGAAGTGTGATCCATCGCCTGGAGAAAAAGAGCAATTCCCCTTCTCCTTTCCCTCTGGACTCGAGCACATAATCACCTGGGACCCAGGGACAGGACCCTGACGGAGTGGATCCACCCAGGTCCAAAAAAGCTTTTGTACACTCCTCTGAAGAGGGAGTCAGGCCTTCCCTGGCCCCAGCTCTTTCTCCTAGATGGTTTCGAATAGCCCAGAAAAAATGCTAGGAGATCTGGCTACAGAGAAGGCCCGGTTGGCTTGTGCTAGGTTTCTCAAGGGATATTACAAGACATATCGCCTGTCAAGGGGACAGATACCGAATTTTCTCTATTCCCAGGTGCCAATAAGGAGATATCAAATCCTAAAGAGTCACCTGCTTCCCCTCTTCCATCCAGATTCTCAATCTCCAACCCCACTTTTTCATCTCTTACCTGAAATAAAACTGAAATGGCCTCTGTCTGGAGCCTATTTATTTACATTTGAATTTTAATCAGGTTAGGGAGGGAGGAAGGGAGAGAGACAGCAAGCAGGCAGACAGACAGACAGACAGAGAGAAGAAGGGGAGAGAGAGAAGGGGGGGGTGGCTCACCAGGAGTAAAATGCCCATTCAGGGATATTACATTATTAATTAATTAATATTAATTAGAATTACAAAAGCACTGTTGGAATGAAGTCCCTCCAAAAAATAATCCTGTCTCTCTCTCTCTCTGTCTTTGTCTCTCTCTTCCCTACTATAGAAGAAAAAAAAAAAGAGATATCTTCCCAGTTCTTTTGTGGTTCCCTAGTTTATGAAGAATGCTTAGCCCAAAGCAGCAGAATCACTGAAACTCTCAGGTAGTCAAGGAAGGTGTCTTCCTTTGGCTGCTTGACCCCACAAACCTGGACTTCTAGACCCTCTTGGGATTGTGTGGGACTCAGGGACTCAGTCTATAAACTGAGCAAAAGCCAGAGGACTGTGCCAGGCTAAGGTGCGGTGCTTTTGACTGTGGGAAATGGTAGATGTTAATCCATACTCTGGCAGCTAGGCTCCTGAATGGCATCTCAACAGGGAGCAGAACAAGGCTTCACAGGATTCATATCTGGAAGCATTTTGGTCATTAGAGATCATGTCATGAAGAGATTCTTAATCTTTTTTGTGTCTTGGACCTCTTTGGCAGTATGGGGAAGCCTATAAACCCCTCCTCAGAATAACATTGATAAATGCATAAAATAAAATACATATTAGGATTATGAAGGAAACCAATTATATTGAAATAATTATTAAAAAAAAATTTAAACAAGTTTAAGGACCTTAAGTTAAGAAGCCCTGATTTTACAAATAAGTAAGCTGAGGCATTAAAATAAATGCTTTGCCCAAGGACACACAGCTAATAAACAAGCAGAACTAGGGTTACAACTAGGAGTTTCTACTATTAAGTGTAGTATTCTTTCCACCCTTCTTCAGTCTGGTGTGGAAACAGGCCCTAGCCCAATTGGCTTAGTAAAGACAAGGAAGAGACTTCTAGGCTAGGGAGGTCTCCCCGTGACCTCTGGCCCCACCATGAGAAAAGGGCCATCTTTAGATTGGCCATCGCTCCCAGGACCCCTAAGGACCGCATCTTCATGACCACTTCGGGGGAATTAGTTGGGGATAAGAAAGGAAGGAATAAGCAGCTTCAGGGCTCTGGCCCTGAAGCAAGTTTCAGTTTCACGAAGGCCTGAGTAGTGGGGTAGGATGGGAAGGTTTCGGGAGTGCAGAATTCCCCCATTTATGGGTCATCAAGGCTTCAGAGAAGAAACTAAAAACCAGCCCCTGGCGAGTGAGTCCTCAGCAGCTTGGAATAGGACATTGTATTTAGGGTTTAGGATATGCCACAGGATATATTCCCATCAGTCCACTAGTTCCAGAAACAACGAAATATTAAGACCAGGTGGGAATTCCAATTCTGGAGAGACAGGCTTACGCAGCTTCTTTCGTACAGAATTCCCGAAGACTACAATCCAACCTGGCTGATTTTATCTTTTTGATTACCGGGCAATTCGCAAATGAATTATCCGCAAATACAGATGACGCAGGATGCTGCCTTAACCTCGGGTTATCTAAATTCGTCCATCTATTAACAGAGCAGCCGACCAGCGAAATCAGACTCGGGTTCCCTTTTCTGTCCTCTTCTCTCCACCTAGCCGTTTTCGACAACACCGCGAGCATCCCCCCGCCCCTTAATTACATTTGGAAAACAAATATTGCCTAACAACGAGGCCTTGAGAAGTCATTTGACTTCTCTCGCCCTCAGTTTCCAATTCTGTAAAATGAGAGGGTTGGACCAGAGAGCCTCTAGGCTCCTTTCCAGCTCTGAAATACGGTTCCCTCTAAAGTCTGACCACTTTAAATCAGGTCTAGGCTGGCTGCACCGCCAGCTGATGTCTCAGAGTTGGGTCAAACCCTATTATAACATGGTTTTTAATTACACAGATTTGAATAACATTGTCACTAGTCGAAACTTGACGACTTTTTATATTAAGGATATCCAGTAACAGTTAGTCTGTCTCCTCCACTCCTCAAAATCAGCGCTAGAAACCGATACTTGTTAGAAAAGGGAAGTACTTCGAAGCGGGTACAATGAAAAAAGACCTCGAGAAATACGAAATGAACAAGCCTGATATATTTCAACTTGTGGTGGCTCCTTATCGTTGGCAGCAACAGAGCCCGAGTAACCGAAGTGACTCGAGCAGCCGGGAGGCAACTCTTGAGTTCCCCAGTCCCTTGCCCAGGCTTGGCTTAGAAGACATTGGGGAAAATCCCTCTTATTTTTGGTTCTGTGGTGGAAGACTAAGTCTCTTATACCACTGGTTTCTAGCTCTTTACATACAGGGCATCTCTCCCAAGGCAACATCAACCTCCCTCCTACCACTTCGTGGCTCCTCAGGTTTACAGGATGCCTCATTAGCCCATAAGTCCAGGAGTACCCTAGGGGTTGGTCCCTCCCGCCTCCTGCGAACAATGTAGAAACTTTCCGTGAGCCGGCCTGACTTACGGAAAAGAAGAAGGGCGGCAAGGCTTTACACCGGCCACGGGTTCCCTGTCCAAGCCCTTTTCAGGTCTCTATCCCCCTTGCCCCACAGGGTCGAGGCGTCTCATTTAGATGAAGGCGGGGGGGGCAGGCCTAGGGAGTACCTTGGGGGACAATGTTGCGGTCCCCCGCCTTCAGGATCCCCCCAGGGACCCTCATAGAAAGGGCCCATTAAATGCAGGAAGCCAGAACCAGAAATGAGCGCAAGTGGAGCAAGCAGGAGGTGGGAGAGAGAAGAGAGCGACAATTGTCTGGGCCGCCCCAGTTCAGTAATGGGGTGTAGGGTTGGGCTGCGCTGCACTCCCCCAAGGCGCAGTGCTCTGTGCTTACCCTGGTTACGGATGGTCGGCTGGCTTTCTAGGCAGCTGGGCAAGTAGGGAGCGTTGGGAAACATCCTGGCCTGGCCCGAGGGTGGTTGGCTAGGCGGGGGCGGACCAAAGGGGCCATAGCGACAGGCTCCAGCTGTACCGGTGAATTGGCCAGAGAAGTGGACTGTGAAGGCGCTCAGACACTGCTCCTCGTGTGGTTCTGCGCCGCCCCAGCTTGGCTCCTGCTTGATGAAGGAGTGTGGAGGCGGCGGCGGCGGCGGGGCAGGCGGGGGTGCCGGGGCGCTCAACGAGCCGTAGGCAGAGGCGCCCGGGGGCGCAAAGTCCAGCACTGGGGCCCACTGTGCTGCGCCACTCACAGGCAGGGCGCAGCCGCCGCCGCCGCCCAGCGAGGGCACAGCAGGCAGCAGCGCATTCAGATCCCTCACGTCGGAGCCCATGGACTGCTCCCCGCAGGCCGGCCCCCGGCTCCGCCGCCCTTGAAGGCGCTCGCCTCCCTGCCCGACTGAAGCGAACTTGGTCCAGGTGCCACCCGGGCCCCGTGCTACCGGTTGCTCAGGCTGCTGCAGGCACCAAGGCCCAGAGCGAAGCGCACGGGGAGACGCCGGCTCCGGGGCACACGTGGAAGCCGGCTCCGGCGGCAGTAGGAAGTCCAGGGTCGCGGCGGGAAAGAAGCGGAGGCAGCAGCAGCGGGACTCTAGCTTGTGGACTGCTGTCCGGGGTAGATGAGTGGGTGGGTGGGTGGGTAGATGAGTGGGCGAGTGGGAGGGCAGCGAGGAGAAAAGAAGGGAGCTGATTGTCCGACTGGAGAGAGCCCCCTGGGTGTGGACTCTGCCTTGAACTCCTTACCCCGGCCGCCTGGCTGCCCCTGGCTTCCCAAAGCTCAAATAAGAGGGGCCGGCGGCGGGAGAGGAGGAGGAGCTAGGACATCCAGCTGCTCCATTCACACCGCAGCCCAGGCCCTAGTAGGCAGCAGGCGCTGCTCCCCGGGGCGACCTGAGTGCGGGGAGGGGAGGAGAGAGTGAACCAGGGGCGGGGTAGGGCGGACTTGGGGGAGGATCTCGAAGAGAGAAGCCCTCCCCCCCCCAACCCCGCACACCGCTCTAGGTCAACTATCCTGTTGGGCGACTCCCCTGTCTCCCTGCCCCCAAGCTTGCGCTCCCCCTTTAAGATTTTGCGGGTGTCGGGGTCTCCAGCAGAGGTGGGGGGCACTCCAGGTAAGCCGTTAAGTGTTTACGCAGAGACTGGAGAGACGCGCAATGGAGAAGGTTGTAAGGAAGGCCGTGGGAGGGGGAGGGGGTGTCAGTTGGAGGGAGGCGGGACTTTGGGAAACTTCGCTGGCTTGTAAGGAGTGTGGAACACTTATGCACCTTGCTCGCGATTTCTGGTCCCTGTTACAAAGCAAAGAGAGGTTGAGTGGGAGACGTTAATTCTGGTTTTACGGGCAGGCGGCACCTTCTGCAGGGGAGAAAGAGAGTAGCTGTGGATCTCTACCACAGGAGACCAGAAGCTGCCTGAGCATTTCTGTGTTCTGGAGTTGGGGCGGAGGGGTGTGCTATCTGAGATCTGGACCTTACTTGAGCACGCAGGCATCAATTCTGCCTCACATAATCTGGCTTTGGGTGATGGGCAAGTCGGGAGAAAGTTAATCCCGGGAGGAGAGCAGGTGTCCGGAATAGCGGGAGAGTATATTAACCATAATAAATCTGCCATGTTTCGATGATTGCGTTCCTTCCTCTGTGGAAGTGCCTTCCTTTACTTATGTCCCCTGAAAATCCGTGATAGTGGTATCTCCACGTGGGAGTATCGCACACCTCAACCCAAGGGCCCAATGGGGGGGAGGGGAAGACCTTGGGACCTTCTTAATCCGGGATTGGGGCGGGGGAGAGGCGCTCCCATAGCTTAAGAACTCGGGAAACCCCCAGGGAGGTGTATCTTTCCTCATCTCTCAAGTCTACGAAAGCCGCCCCTCACCCCACCAGTCATCGACGTCCTACTTTTTCTGGAGAGCCCACACCATCCAAATCGTCCCTATTAGCTCCAGTCCGGAGCCAGGGAGCTGTGGGAGGGGAACGGGGTGGCGGGGGGGGGGGGGGGTGGGGTGGAAAAAAGAATGATATTAGTAGGAAGATCTCAGAGGCTGTCCTAGTAGAATTCAGCCCTGGAGATCCAATACCGTACGCTCAGAGGCTCAACAGTGTTCTTGGGGCCTGAGAAACTCATTGTGATGGAGATGGAAAAGTCAAAGAAGCGCTCCTATCTTCCAGGGTTTACTCCTCTTTAATTGAAGCCCAGTCCCCCATCCACCCAACCTATGGAATACTTCTTGGCTTCCTGGAGAGATTGCAGGTTTCTTTGGGTATGCCATTGTCCGGTTTGGTAAAACCGCCCTGGGGAGAAGAGCTTCTTGCCCCTTGTGCCCCTTGCTTTTTCCAAGATTGTAGCAGGGGTGTGAGGAAAAAGGCGCCATCTGGACCGCTGGATGGGCAACCACGCAAAGTGGTTGTGCTATGTCCCCTGGCCTCTCCATGCAAGGCTAGTAGCAGCCACCTGGTTGTTGTTTGTTTTGTTTTCCAGAGAAATAAGTGCAAAGGAAGGACCCAGTAGCTTTCCACTTGGTTAAGGGGACCTAGCTGAATTATTGAAATTGTGTGGTTGTTTTTTCCTCGTAGCTCGAAGGTTAGGGAGAGGCAATTTTACATAGAATGGATTTTTTTTTTTAATTCTCGACCAGCATTGCAATGACTCCTGGCTGTGGGTCATGAGGATATGCTTTTACACATGTCCAGAAACACAGATCAAGTGCTCCCCGAAGAGCCTGACTCTCTCTGTTTTTATTGAATAAACGAGTACAGCAACACACTTTATATACAATAATCTTATTTTTCGAAGATTGTGTAAATTCCTCTCTGCAGAAGAACTTTGGGAGGTTCTTGGGAGGAAGACGTTATTTAAGAAACGACCAAACAAATAAAACCCCCGCATCTCGTCGCCCTTGCATTTTGTTTTGGAGTACTTTTGAATCCACACACACACACACACACACACACACACACTAAGCCTCTGATAATTGTACATCACCTTCAGAATTGCATTGTGCAGCAACCCACCCTTCTTTCACCCTCTACCCCGTTCAGGTTATTAAAGAACAACATTTTCGTAGCTCCTATTTCTTCATCCCTAATCCCCCACCTTTCAGTTCCTCAGCCTCTCTTCTTTCTTTGATCCATACCAAATCTTTAAGGCTATTTTATTTATTTTAGCAAAACGAGTCTCACTCCTCATTTTGGGGCGGGTTTGCTCACAGATGTTCCTCTAGAGGAAAATAGAAAACTTTCCCCTGGTTAGTAAGCTTAACTCTGCCATGAAACGCGGAGTCAAGGTTTCTCTCATTCTATTTCTATTCCCAGGTTGTGGAACGGTTTGCTTTTTCATAAATTGGGACCGAGCATATGCTCGCAGGACTTTCTGGGGAAACAAGGGAGGAAACATAAGGATTTCGGTTTCTAAACGAACATGTCCTGATTGTTTCGATTTTTTTTTTTTTTTTTGGTGCCTTTGTAGGTTTCTGGTTTGGGTGGTGGATTTTGTTGTTGTTGTTTTGTTTTTGTTGCATTTTGCGGGGGAGAATTTTGTTGCTCAATTAAGAGACAAGCCCGCGGTGTTCTCTTCGTATGGATTTTCTTTGCTTCGAGCTTGGGGCTGTAGTGAAGCGTCTGACGCTAAAGGCGACCCAAATCCTTTACCTCAGACTTCCCTCCACACATACACCTGTTCTGTTTCCTGGAAGAAATTTAGGAATAAGAGAATTGGGAGCGAATTCCAGTCTCCTCCTCCTCTTTAGGACCTTCCTCACCACACTCCGACCAGACCCCCAGGGAGAGCACCAAAACGGACAAACGAGGTTCCTCTCCCAAGTCCCTTCGTCTCTCCCTTCCCTCTTCCTTTTGCCCTCGTGGGAGCATTAAGGAAGAGGGTTCTCCGCCCTGGTCCGGCTCTACCCGCGTATCCCGAAAGCAGAGTCAAGGCTCCCACAGAGGACGCTCCCAAGGCAGCCTCTTCCATTCCCTCCCATGCCTTCTGGGTCCCTCTAGGAGCTGGGCTAGGGATGGGCAATCACTAGCGTCCATGAGTCTGTGAAGGAGAGGAAAAGGGGAGCCCCAGCTCTGAGAGAGTAAGCCGATGGAGAACTTCCTTCTCTGTTCTAGACTGACCCCTCAGGAATTACAGCACACTAGTCGCACTCGGCAGTCTCGGCCCTTACTTCTCTAAGCAAACCCAGAGTAGGAGACCGCCTCCGGGACGTCCCTCAAGGGTTCCCGGGCCTCGCCTCCGTCCTACTCGGCCCAATCCCTCCGCCTCCAGGAACATACAGCAGCCTGAGAAAAGAAACCAGAGACAAGAGGGAATGTACCTTCCCTGCACCCAAGAGAGGTTGAGGCTGGTGCGAAGTTTCTCTGGTGAGGGTGGAGGTGGGGTAGGGATGGGAAAGAGCAGGGTCGGGGGAGGTGGGGCAACCTAGGGCTGCCCTCCCTCCCCCAACTACTACTCTAGGGGCTTCGTGGAGCCAGAGTGGCGACACTGGGAGGGGGAGGAGGAAGGATGGGTGCAGAGAGAGGGGATGGCCCGCGAGTGGAGAGGGGCGGGGAGAAGCCCAGGAAAAAACCGTGCCAAAGGAGTCTTTGATATAGCGCTTCTCGGACCTGGGACGTGTGTCCCACATGCATGCACATGTACATACGTATACATATACACATATTACTGTGTGATCAAAAGGAGCGGGATTCCCAGGAGAAGGGCGGAGAGGGAGTTCCTGTGCCCCCAGACTCCTGCCTTCCACCCTGGAGCTCTGTCAGCCACATCTAACGGAGCGCGGGCAGGGCCAGGTTAGCCTCTCTGCACCAGGGAATAACCCAGCGCTCCTAGAGCCGCCCTGGCCCCTCTCCCTGCGTAACCTCCTGAGCCGCGGACAACTGAACAAACACTCAGGAGCCCAGCGATCTGTCAAGAACCTTGTCCTCCTGCCCCGGCGAGCTGAAGCCAGTAATAAATAGTGCGCCTGACCTCCCCTTGCCCCTCGAGGAAAGCTCTGGAGGAGCCGGCGCTCAGCGCTCAATCGCTCCTTGGAGGCTAACTTAGCACCTAGCGGAGGACGAGGATAGCCCTAGTAGCTGAGACGCGCCGTAAGGCTGTGGGAGGCTCCCGGCCGCTGCGCCTACATTTCTCCTCCTACTTCACCGCGCCCCCAGCCCCCAGCCCCTCCATCTCAGCCCCGGCTAGTGATGGGGCCCACAGGGGTCAGGACCACGCGGACGCGCCGCAGGAATTCTTACAAAAGACTTGGAAAATCCAAGCTCGGATTAAAAAAAAAAAAAAACGAAAAAAGAAAAGTGCTCCTTGAAAAAAATTAATTACCTCATGGGCTAATTGAGGTGCAATT